TCCATCTCCAGTGGGGGGCGTGCAGGAGGCAGCCGATCCATGATTCTCTCTCATCATGGAGTTTCTATCTCTCCCTCTCCCTATCTGAAATCAATAAAAAATATATTAAAAAATAAATAAATGTGAATGGAAATGAACTGGCTTTGATGGAGAAGTTGAAAATCAAGGTGGGGGAGGGTAGGAAACATAATGACTTTAGCAAGGTACTGGGGAACATAGGAAGAAGAACCCAGGAACACTAGGTGGGAAGGAGATTAGAGATGCAAAAAAAAAGTGTCATTTGGTGGCAGAAAGTTGAGGGTGAGTTCCTCTGATATCTCTATGTTTTGAATGAAGTAGAAGATGCTCATGGGGTGGGTTGTGTTGGGAATCAGATTTAGAGGAGACTACAGCTTTGAAATACCTCTTGGAGAATGGAAGAGAGGGCTAACTAGGAGAATAGAAGGAGGGAGGATATCATTCATTTTCACCAGTGACATTTAGAAGACTGGATAGAAATGTGGATTGGCAGTCAGGTAGTTAATGGTAAGATTCGTTACCTAAGTGAGAGAGAGGAGACTGTGACACCACAGAGTGGTTGAAATAATTTTATGTTGAGTACTGATGATTTAATTGTGTCAATCCAAATATGAAATTTTGCCTTGCAGGAGCAGCAGAAAGACAAGAAAGTGTGTGATAGAGAAGAAGGTGATAGAAGCAGTGGCATTGTTGTCTAAGCTGAGTAGAGCTAACAGTAAAGATAAAAATGGAAGTAGAGGATCTAGGGACCAAAGTCCTAATGAGGTACAAGACCAGGTATAGTGAACAGTTCTGAGAGAGCTAGTAGGAATATGGCATTGGTACTTAAAATTTCAAAAATGGAAAAGTTTGGGGATAACAAGATTCAGCCTGTGTCTGTGACTACTAGATGACTTAAGTGGATTAAAAGTAAAGATTGTGTTGAGGTTAAGGAACAATGCCAGAATTTTGGACAGGTCAGTGAACCCGGTTCCAAAGGCATAGTTTAATTATTTTCTTTGATGCATTACCTAAAGTGATATTGCTGGGTCAGATCCTTCCCCCCCCCCCCACCCCCCCAATAAAAAGAGTTGAGGCATTTTGGCATATTGCCCTTTATCATTTGATACTCTCATTCTGAGAATGTATCTCTTCACACTTAATACCAAGAATTGTTCAATAGGTCTGACATTAAAATCCATGTTTTTGTCACAGCTTGTGTTGCTCAGTGGTTGAGCCTTGACCCAGGAACCAAGAGGTCACTGGTTTGATTCCCAGTCAGGGCACATGCCCAGGTTCATATATTAAAAAGAAAAAGAAGAAAGATACCCTTTTGGCTGCCCTGTAGGTGCTGGACTTGCTGGTACCACAGATGAAGCTATGTGCTGCAACTGTGATATCAAGGCAAAGAGTTATTAATATATCCCTCCCCCCCAAAAAAAAGTATATATATATATATATATATTCCCAAAAATGTATATACACACTTTGAATAATTATAAAGGCAGTGTTTATTAAAATACATTACATTTTCAAAATTGAAATATCAGCTTGTTAAAGTGTGTCTACATTTTGGGGGGACACCTGATATATGCTTTGGTTAGTAAAGACATTGAACTCTCTTTTTTTTTTTTTTTTTTTTTACTGTAATTGTGATTTGCCTGCCCCTGTCATTTGTTTATTTTTCTGTTGGCACAAGAACCTTTTTCTACCATTTCACTTTTCTTAATTAATTTCTTTGACTTGCATTTTTCCTTTTAGTATTTATCTTATTCTATTTGAATTGTGTGCTTAGCTTATTAATTTTCCTTCTTTGTTTAATAATAAACACTTTAAGTATTAGCCTGATTACCTTCTTAGCCAAATCATATAGGTATTGATGTGTATAGAGTTTTCATTGTTATCTTCTTAATATTCTTTAATCACAATTTTTATTTCTTTGCAGCAAATGTCACTTATTAGTAAACTAGAGGCCCGGTGCACAAAAATTTGTGCACTCTGGGAGAGGGGGGGGTCCCTCAGCCCGGCCTGTGCCCTCTCGCAGTCTGGGACCCCTCGGGAGATAACGACCTGCTGGCTTAGGCCTGCTCCCGGGTGGCAGAGGGCACGCCCAATCCCTAGGTGCAGCCCCTGGTCAGGCTCAGAGCAGGGCCGATTGGGGAGTTGGGGTGCCGCCCCGTCATGCACAGAGCAGGGCGGATCGGGAGGTTGGGCATCGCACACCCTCAGTCACGCTCAGGATAGGTCAGGAAGGTTGGGGCTCCATACCCTGTCACACACAGAGCAGGGTCGATCAGGGGGTTGGGGAGCTCCCCCCTGTCACGCACAGAGCAGGGCCCATCAGGGGGTTGAGGAGCTCCCCCCTGTCATGCACAGAGCAGGGCGATCAGGGGGTTGAGGAGCCCCCCCCTGTCACTCACAGAGTAGGGCCAATAGGGGAGTTGGGGCACCGCCCCCTGTCACACACAGAGCAGGGCGGATCAGGAGATTGGGGCGCTGCACCCTGTCACACTCAGGGCAGGGCCAATGGGGAGGTTATGGCTCTACCCCGTCACACACAGAGCAAGGCCCGTGGAGGGGGGTTGGGGCGCCACCCTCTATCACCCACAGAGCAGGGCCGATCAGGGGGTTGGGGCGCCGCCACTGTCACACTCAGGGCAGGGCCGATGGAGAGGTTATGGCTCTACCCCGTCACAGAGCAGGGCCCGTGGGGCGGGGGGTGTTGGGGCGCCACCCCCTGTCACACACAGAGCAGGGCCGATCAGGGGGTTGGTGCGCCGCACCCTGTCACACACAGAGCCGCAGGGCGATCAGGGGATTGGGGAGCTCCCCCTATCAGGCACAGAGCAGGGCCGATCAGGGGGTTGGGGCGCCTTCCCCTGTCATGAACAGAGCAGGGCGGATAGGGAGGTTGTGGCCCCGCCCCCTGTCACTCACAGAGCCGCAGGGCGATCAGGGGGTTTGGGCGCTGCCCCCTGTCACACTGATCCTGGTGCTGGGAGGCATATTACCCTTTTACTATATAGGATAGAGGCCTGGTGCACAGGTGGGGGCCGGCTGGTTTGCCCTGAAGGGTGTCCTGGATCAGGGTGGGGGTCCCCACTGGGGTGCCTGGCCAGTCTGGGTGAAGGGCTGATGGCCGTTTTCAGGCTGACGGGTGACTGAAGCTCCCAACCGCTCCTTTTTTTCTTTTTCTTTTTTCTACTCTGGGCCAGCTTTAGCTCTGAGGCCTCGCTGCTGAAAGCAGGTTTCTGGCCTTTACCTTCTGTATTTGATACAATGTTGCGGTCCGGCTGGCTGAAGCCCGGCTGACTGAAAGCTGGTTTCTAGGGTTTTGTTTAGCTTCTATATTTGCAACATAGTTGCTTAGAGTTGCAGCTGAGAGACCGCAAGTCAGGTGGGGAACGTTGGAGTTCGCCATCACTGGAGCAAGGAAGCCTCCCTGTTCGCTTCAGTGCATGGCTGCCGGCCGCCATCTTGGCTGACAGTTAATTTGCATAAGAATATGTTGATTAGCCAATGGGAAGGGTAGCGGTCGTACGCTAATTACCATGTTTCTCTTTTATTAGTGTAGATGGTTGAAATTGTTTTGTTGTTTTTGTCCTGCTTTATTTGCAAGGTTTGTTTTTTTTCTCTCTCTCTCTTCCTAATCCTTTTTTTAAATAAGCAAAGCTAGAGAGTGGTCATTACTTATTTAGGCTTTTGAAAACAGTGAAATAGTCTTTGTGGCCTAAACTGTTAAAAGAGCCCAACCATTGTCACTCAGTGGTTGAGCATCAACCTATGATACAGGAGGTCATGGTTTGATCCAGGTCAGGGCATATGCCCCTGGTTGCCAGCACAATCCCCAGCAGAAGGTAGCCAATTACTGATTCTCTGTCATCATTGATGTTTCTAGCTCTCTCTCCCTCTCCTTTCCTCTCTGAAATCAACAAAAATATTCTTAAAGAAAACAAATTGTTAAAAGATATATTCTATATGGGTCCTAGAAATGAAAGTACAGTTTTTATTGGGTAGAAACTATATATATATATATATATATATATATAAAATCTCCATTAAATCTTAGTTGCCTACTCATCCTGACTTGTCAAAGAATGAGATTCCTGCTTGTTTCTTTTATTTTTTTGTTTCATACATTTATTTTTTATTTTTTTTCTAAACATTTTTATGCTACATTAATTTACCCATTCAGCAAGTAATAACTGAACACCTACTATGTGCTTAACCACTGTGTACTGTTCTGAGTACTGGAGTCACTCTTAGTGACATGTGTGGTCTGTAATTCATGATTTTCACCAAGCAGTCATAGTTGCAAATGTTGCATCACTTCTTTCTTTCTAGAAAAAAGTGTGGAAACAAATATGTGTTATTTAACTTAATCGGTCTTTTTTTTTTTTTTTTCGAATTAAAGAGTCACATTTATTGCAGTCCGGGACTATGAGGGGCCATTCCCCAAATCTCATAGTAACAAGATGGTCGCAGCTCCAAGGTTATATAGGCAAAAAATCACAAAGGTATTAATTATATCCCAGGGTTTGGAATGAGGAACCTGGCTCGAAAAAAATCAGTTTACAGAAGCAGAATTAAGCATGTTAATTATAGTTTTGGGTCTCGGGGTCACTGAAGTGACAGAAATACATTATCTAGAGCCCTGGAGTCTGGAATGAGGAACCTAGTTTGCAAAAAGCAGTTTACAGAAGCAGAAACAGCATGTTATAAACACATTATCTAGAGCCCTTGGGTAACCTGGGTTAAACTTAGGCATGTTATCTAAATTACAGTTTTGGGTCTAGAACCCTCTGACCTTGGGATAACTGTGCTGTCCTTCCCAGGTGAAGGAAAATATAAAATATTTGATAAAATATTGTAAAGGTATGATCATTAAGTTTTTTTGAAGCATTAATGTATATACAAATTTTTTCTTGCATCACTTATTCAGATTCTGGGTTGTCGTTTGTTGTTTAGACTTTCCAAAACAAAAATCTGTATTTTTCCTACAGGTGAAAGCACTGAAAGAGAAGATTGAATCTGAAAGGGGGAAAGATGCCTTTCCTGTATCTGGTCAGAAGTTAATTTATGCAGGTATGGATTGAACATTGAAATTAATGTGCTATTTTCTTCCTCCTGTGATATTCTCTTAATTTTAGAAAAGAAATTGCACTACTAGCCTTATAGTACCAGGAAAATGTATTTTAAAAATAGACTTGATATTTGACTTTTGTGGAGAAAATGCTTTTCCTTATTCTTCAAAATTAGCATAACATCCTCATTGTAGATTTCAGTAAGGTAGGTCTTAGATGCCCATGGATTCTTATCTCTTTCTAGGTAGGGATTTCGTAGTATTTTCTTAACTGAGATAGTTTAAAAAAAACACTAACCCCAAAATTAGGAAACAGCAGCCTAAAGAGGCAGGTTGTTGATGGCAGACATAAAACTATAATTTCTGGTTCCTAGTCTTGGTCTGTTTTCTCAGTTCCATAGAGTAGAGAGATTATCCTTTTTGGTTTTAATATCTGTAGCCTTTTATTCAATAACTTTTTAAAAATGGAAAATAAGTTCAAGGAAAAGGAAACCTGAAGGAGTCTTGACCTAACATTTGACCTTTAGCATTACTGAAGTCTTTTTTTTTTAAGTATTTAATATGTCTTTTTCCCCAATTGACTCCCCGCCACCGCCACTCTTGCCCATCGAAGTCTTATGTACTTCTTTGTGTCTTACCCAGCTCTATATCATCTTGTCATTTCTGTATACTAAATCATTTTATGAAGTACTTTAAAAAAAAATATAGATAGATAGATAGATTGATTGATTTCAGAGAGGAAGGGAGAGAGATAGAAACATTAATGATGAGAGAGAATCATTGATTGGCTGCCTCCTACATGTCCCGATCAGGAATCGAGCCCGCAACCCGGGCATGTGCCCTTGACTGGAATTGAACTCCGGTCCTTCAGTCCGCAGGCCGATGCTCTGTCCATTGAGCCAAACCAGCTAGAGCTGAAGTATTTTTTATTATGAGTATCACTTTTATAGCCTTGGAACATTTCTGTCTTGCCAGGCATCTAGTATTTGTGGGATCAGGAAGTTTGTTCTTTTCTCCTTCCTCCATGAAGAAGGATTATAAGTTGTTCCCCAGGAGGAATCCTTGTGCAATCTGAATATTAAATTTTGCTTGTCTTTATAATTGTTTTTCTTGGGACCTTGTTAGTATTTCCTTAACCATCAAGTATTTTTATTATAAGTAATTTTTAAGAATTGCTTGGGATATCTATATACTATATATGTGTTTGATATCTTTTAGTCAAATGCTTATGCCTTCTTAACTGTGTTTAATTGTGTTTCCATTTATATTTATCCTCATCTGGGCTGATTGGTTAATGTTTTTCTTTTGGGAAAGTATTTTAATTAATAGAATTGATGTTGATGATTGTTTTAACTTCAGTTATATCGATGACAAAGGTTACTGTGCCTTAAATAACTTTTTTTTTTAATATACCAGGTAAAATCCTCAATGATGATACTGCTCTAAAAGAATATAAAATTGATGAGAAAAACTTTGTGGTGGTTATGGTGACAAAAGTAAGTTTAAGCCTTATTCTGTATATCTTCGTGTATGTGAGTTTTTAAATAATGATGATGCCAAGTGCAGCCATTAAACCTTTGAATGAAATACAGTTAAGCACATTCATAGTAGGTTGCCCTTAACTTTGTTTTTTTTTAACTTTATTTATTATTTTAGAGAGAGTGGAAGGGGAGGGAGGAGGGAGGAGGGAGAGAGTGAAACATCAATATGGGAGAAGAACATTGATCGGTTGCCTCCTGTACATGCCCTAGCTGGGGATTGAACCCACAACCTTTTTTTTTTTTTTTTTAATATATTTTTATTGATTTCAGAGAGGAAGTGAGAGGGAGAGAGAGATAGAAACATCAATGATGAGAGAGAATCATTGATTGGTTGCCTCCTGCACGCCCCCTACTGGGGAGTGAGCCCACAACCCAGGCATATGCCCTTGACTGGAATCAAACCCGGGACCCTTCATTCCGTAGGCCGATGCTCTATCCACTGAGCCAAACCAGCTAGGGCAGAACCCACAACCTTTTTGGTGTATGAGATAATGCTCCAACCAACTAGGTCATCCAGCCAGGCCTAAATATGGGTTTTAAAGTCACAAAATAATTGATATATACACTAGGAAATAGAGTTCAACAACTAAAATTTGACTACTAAATACTTTTGTACTAAGTAACAGTTTATATCAATTGGACTTGGAAAATTTTTTAAGCCATTAAGAACCATATTAATTTTGCAGTGTTCAAGTACTTATTCATTAAATGTTAAACTTTAAATACAAAGAAAGAAATCACATGAGGAAACTTTGTCTCATCTAGTGTTTAAAAAAATATGATAAAATATACATAGCCCAAAATTTACCAATTTAACCATTTTTAAGTGTATGGTCCAGTATCATTAAGTACTTTCACGTTGTGCAACCATCACCACCATCAGTTTCCAGAACTTTTTTCATCTTCCCAAGCTGAAACTGTACCCATTAAATAGTAACTTTCCGTCCATACCTGCCCTCCACCTCTACATACTTAATGTAAGTGGAATCATACAGTATTGTTCTTTTTGTGACTGACTTATTTCAGTTCATGTTGTAGCTTTGCCGTCCTTTTTAGGGCTGAATAATATTCCATTATCTCACCTAGTTTTATCATACATAGTCTATATGGAAAATACATTTGGATATGTATTTGTTATCGGTCTTATTACCGTTAGTATTATAGTAACCTTGACTATTAGAACATAATTAAGGATTAGCAGGATAGGTTCAGAATACGTGCATGCATTTGGAGCCTAGCCTGTTCTTATCTATAATTAGAGGCCCGGTGCACGAAAATTCGTGCACTCGGCGGGGTCCCTCAGCCCAGCCTGCACCCTCTCACAATCCAGGACCCCTCAGATAGGGTCCGTAGGCCTGGCCTGAGATCAGGGCCTATTGGGGCTTTCCTTCCCCAGGCTGCAGGCAGCTGGCCCCACCCCCGCCGCTGCCATTGCTTGCCATCTGTGCAGTGCTGCCCCCCCTTCCCTGCCACCAGTGGCCTCCCTCTGCAGGCGACAGACTGGGGTGTGATGGCTTGGTTAGCCTGGACCTCCCTCTTTCTTTGCTGGGGGTCAGGGCTAGCCCTGCGAGGGCCTGTCTGCCTACCTGATTACCCCTAACTGCTCGCCTGCCTACCTGATCGCCCCTAACCACTCTGTCTGCCTGCCTAATTGCCCCTAACCACTTGCTTGGGGGTGTGGCCAGCCCGCAAGGGGCCGTGGTGGTCTGATCTCTGGTCGTTTAGGTCATGACGCCTCTGGCCTTTTATTACCTATAATAATAAAAGTGTAATATGCAAATTGACCGAACAGCAGAACGACCATCGGAAGTCCTTCCAGGCACAGCCAGGGCTGCTAGGGCCTACTCTTGCACGAATTTTGTGCATAGGGCCTTTAGTATAGGATAATAAAAGCGTAATATGCTAATTAAACCGGACTGCTGAATGATCTTCTGGATGAAGCCGTGGGGGCCAAGGCAGAGGCTGTTAGGGGTGATTAGGCAGGCAGGCGAGCAATTAGGAGTATCAGGCAGGCAGAGTGGTTAGGGGCGATTAGGCAGGCCAGCGGTTAGGAGCCAGTAGTCCTGGATTGCAAGAGGGATGTCCCAGATTGTGAGAGGGTGCAGGCTGGGCTGAGGAACACCCTCAACCCTCCTCCACCACCCCACCGTGCACAAATTGTGTGCACCGGGCCTCTAGTTTTACATAGGATTCCAATGGTATTTGTGGTTGCTTTATTTTCAAGTTAATAGTAGAGGCTAGCTATGAGAAGGCAAAGACTGATATAATTAGGCATTATGGAAGCAATGAGAAATGATCTCATTACCAAGAAGAGACAGGAAAAAGCAATTAAGGTAAAAAGTAAGCAGAAGCCCTGACTGGTTTGGCTCAGTGGATAGAGCGTCGGCCTGCGGACTCAAGGGTCCCGGGTTTGATTCCGGTCAAGGGCATGTACCTTGGTTGCGGGCACATACCCAGTGGGGAGTGTGCAGGAGGCGGCTGATTGATGTTTCTCTCTCATCGATGTTTCTAGCTCTCTATCCCTCTCCCTTCCTCTCTGTAAAAAATCAATAAAACATATTTTTTAAAAAAAAGTAAGCAGAAAAGCTTCAGGAAGGTTGGTTTGGTACTGTTTAGTTTAGAAGGAAGTTTAAATTGCTGTTTGTGGCAATACTGACCTTGAGGGCATGGTATGTAAAAACATTGTAGTGATAACAAATGGTCTTAAGGGAAATATTAAATGGCCAAAATGCATTTATTTAAACTACATTTTAATCTAGATTGGAGTTTTAGAACATTAATGATCTGCAATGTTAAATTGGCAGTTTAAAAAGTTACAGAGAAAAATACAAGACTCTTAGAATAGGAAAAGGAGGTGATGAATGCTATTACTATTTTTTCAAGTTCCCTATTTTGCACTAGCCACTTTTTAAAAAATAATTCTTTATTGTTGAAAGTATTACATATTCCTTCTTTTCCCCTCATTGACCCCCTCCAGCCCACTCCCTGCCCCAGGCCCTCACCACCCCATATATGCATGGCCTCATCTGTGTCTGTGGGCCATGCATATATGCATACAAGGACCTTGGTTGATTACCACCCTCCCTCTCCTTCCCTCCAAGATTCCCCTAGACACCTTTTTTCTAATGCACTCTGTACTGGCTCAAATTGAACAAGACATAAGTCAGCTAATTGCTTTACAATTTGTTGTTTTATACTTGAAGCAAATTGTGTTGAATTTTACCATCTTCCATTAAAACAGTTACCTTTTGTCATTAGGAAAGTTATGAGCAAAATAGGTAGTGAACATTGATAGGCCTTTAGGAGAATAAAAAGACTTGTAACAGTATGATTTCTACCCACATATAATTGCTTTTTGTTTTGTGGGAATCATTATGACTCTGTTTCTAGTTCAGAAAGTTCGGAACATATGGTTATATAACTTTATTTGGCCTTTATTTTTCTCCTCTTCTTAATATATTTTTATTGGTTTCAGAGAGGAAGGGAGAAGGAGAGGGAGAGATAGAAACATCAGTGATGAGAGAAAATCATTGATTGGCTGCCTCCTGCACGGCCCCACACTGGGGATCAAGCCCACAAACTAGGCATGTGCCCTGACCAGGAATCGATCCATGACCTCCTGGTTCATAGATCAGTGCTCAACCACGGAGCCATGTTGTCCGGGCTGGCCTTCATTTTCTGTTTAACTACATACAGATCTCAGAAGTTATGTTAACCTCTTTGTGCTTATACCTGTCCGTTTTAATGCTGACTTTTTTTTTCATATTAACTTAATATAAAGGCTGAAACTGTTGGGTAAAGCTAATTGAGATTGATAGTTAAGATAATATATATGCTGTCATCAGCTTTGAAAGAGTAACAGTGATTCAGAGTCTTAATGTTGACTATTATGTCACTTTACAAAGTTATTTTCAAGTTACAAGTTTGTTATTAGTATTGAGTTTGTAGCATCCTGTAACAATACAGTCTAATTAGAGATCAGGTAATAATGTTGTATTTTATAATCATTCATTGTTTTGCTTTTTAATATGTTTAGCCCAAAGCAGTGACAACACCAGCACCAACAACGACGCAGCAATCAAATCTTACCACCACTACCACAGTTAGTTCCTCCACAGCACCAGCTGTGGCTCAGGTCCCAACCCCCACCCCTGCTTTGGCTCCCACTCCTACTCCCACTCCCACTCCCACTCTTACTCCTACTCCTACTCCTACTCCTACTCCCACTCCCACTCCCACTCCCACTCCCACACCTACATCTATCACTCCAGCATCAGCGACAGCATCTTCTGAACCTGCACCTGTTAGTGCCACAAAACAGGAGAACCCTGCAGAACAGCCAGCAGAAACACCAGTGGCTACTAGCCCGACATCAACTGACAGGTAAGGGTTGCTAGAAAATTGTATCTTAAAATATGTTCATAACAAGGTCTTCATGCATGTATTTATTTTTATTCTGTCCAAATTAACTTTTTACTATGTTAAGCTTTTTCTAAACTCTGAACTCTGATAAAAACGGTATCACTTCTGTCTAACTTTCCATATTCCAAATTTTTGTATGCTCTGCTTTATTTTTCCAGAGGGAAAAGGAAAGAGGATCAAAGTCATTATTTATTTTGTGTAGAAAAGTTTGGAAATACAAATGACCAAAAAGAAGAACTATAAAATAAAAATATATTATAGCTTGACATATTATAAATAACTTGCATGAGTAGTATTATGTCCAGTGTGGTCTTTGGAGTTGTTTCTATTTTGTGGCTTTAGTGCAACTCAGGACCTCAGTGGCAGTTGCTAGAGTCCTTGGAATCAGAACCAGTCACAATGGAAAACTGCAGCAATTTACTCTTATTTCCCCAAATTACGCACCTCAGAGAAGGATAATACAGGAAGGGGAAGAGTGAGAGAAACTCAGAAATCAAGCTACTTAGCTGTGCTTTAGTCCCTTCATCTGTGCTGTAAAACATTTAGTGGGCCTGTAAAGCACAAAACTTAGTGAGATGATTCTCAGGAGGTATTCTGGTATGAATTTGAAGGGTATAGGAAAGTTTTTTCATCACCACTGGCCTGACATTTTATTAATAGGAATTTGTTTCTTAGGCCATCTTTGTTCTTCTAAAACTATTAAAATGCAAATTCCACTCTTAATTCATTCTCTAAGGTTGATAGCTGACTTAGAGAAACTGCACTTGTACACAAGAACTGTATTGTTTTTAATTGAGGACAAATTTGACCACACTAAATGTTCATTAGTAAGGAGATGACTTGATTTGTGACCTGTTCATATTAGAGAACAGCGCTACTCAAAATGCAGCGGTCAGTACACAGCATCGGCATCACTGGGAGTTTAAATTTAATTCTTAGGCTTCACCTCAGATCTCTAAATCAAAATTATCTGGGGATGGTCCCAGAAGTCAGTATTTTACCAAGCCTGGTGAATTCTTAGGCTTCCTAAAGTTTGGGAAGCTCTGATATCCAGTACCACAGGCCAGTGAAAATATGCAGTATATATTTGTATTAAATGAATATGGTTTCAAATATAAAAAGCAGATTGCAAAATAATACAGATAATAACCATTAACCAAACATAAGCCACAAATGACATTATGTATTTCTATGGGAGTGCATATTAATGTGTAGAAAAACAGAACCAAAGGGATAATACATTGACTGACAGATAAGTGGTTTCCTCTGCGGATAGGGAGGAAAGAATTGGTGAGGCGAAATCAAGAATGAAAAAAGGAGGTTAAATGATACCTCAATCTTAACTATCATGTTTTAAAATAAATTTTAAAACAATGTGCAGCCTGACTGGTGTTGCTCAGTGATGTTGACCTATGAACCAGGAGGTCACAGTTCGATTCCTGGTCAGCGCCCATGCTCTGGTAGCAGCTCAATCTTCAGTGGTTGGAAGCAGCCAATCAGTGATTCTCTCTCATCATTGATGTTTGCATCTCTCCCTCTCCCTTCCTCTCTGAAATCAATAAAAATATTTTTTTTAAAAATGGCACAATGTGCAAAAAAATAGTACACATTATTCCTTTTTAACCCTTTGCACTCCGAACCATTCTGGACATTGGCTACCAGCTACTCGACGCTACTTTGCGGCGGAAACGTGCATTTACAGACCCTCGTATTATTTAGTATAATTTTGGAACCAAGTAACGTATTATAATGATATTGGACTTATATGAATTGGGTGACATCGAGGAATGTATATTTGCAAAAAAAACAATATTTTATTGTTTATAATTTTGTACAGTATGATAAGTTTTGTAACACTCCCCAATATGCATTGCAGGCTGATTAGTGCATGTTTGACAGTAATAAGTGGTTTGACGCCTGCCACCAGGTGTTTTCCTGTTAGAACACACAATGCAGTCCCGTTTTCTTTGTCCCACATCGGGAATATGTAGTTTATTGTTTAATCCGACACAAAACCCGCTGACATTTCTTGTATATATCTTAGTAATTTTACGATATTTTGATTTAATTTCTTGTGCCATTTCAAGATAAACTTCAGGGAAACATGCATGCCTCAAAAAGTTGCGTTGAAATAACTCAATTCCCCGTAATCACTAATAAACTGCAATGTCCCCTGAGAGGGGACATCCGAGTGATATGCTAGAATTCCGATGTCCCCTGAGAGGGGACAGCGGAGTGCAAAGGGTTAAAAAATTGTTTATTTAAATCTTCACCCAAGGATATTTTTCCATTGATTTTTAGAGAGAGGGAAAGACAGAGAAACACATTAATTGGTTGCCTCCTACACGAGCTCCGACCAGGTCCCTGGACCCATTGGCCTGCTGACGTGCTAGCCACTGAGCAAAACCAGCCAGGGCAGCACACATTATTCTGTAAAAGAACAATAATGAAGGAAGCTAACCCTAACAGATAGTAAAATGTATTATGCACAGTAATGATTACAACAATTTAGAATGGCTCTTACTAAAAAGACTGCTCTGTGAAATAGACAGTAGTCTTGAAACAGACTAAAATACATAGGGGCTTAATATACCATAAAGATGTAATTTCAGACGACTGTGGGAAAAAGGCTGTTGGAATAAATGCCTAGTTTTCTGGAGGATGGATTACAGACCTTACATTCACAAAAATAAATTCTAGATGGATAAAGATTGAATGTAAAGGTGAAACCATAAACTAGAAGAGAACATAGGAAAAATAAAAATAACCTTAAAAAGTCATAAAGGGGGAGCATTTAATAAATTTGACTACAGAAAGAATTTAAATGTTGGCAACCAAACTAAAACTTCCTTAATAAAAGCTTGATTTGATCAAGTAAATGGAATACTGCATCTGTTGGGAAAACCTGCCATAGTTGTGATTGTGCTGACATGGAATAATTGTTAAGTTAAATGAAAACACACACAAAAGAGGACACAGGTGATTGTTATATAGAAACTTGGTAGTGGTGGTTGTCTCTGGGCAGGGGTCTTGTGCAGAAGAATTAGTTTCTAGGTATATATTTCTTTGGGAAGTTTTGCCTTCTACGTTAGTTTCACTGTCTAGTGAATGAAGATACTTTAGAAATTATACCAAAGAATTATAATAATCTTATTGGGTATTACCATACCAGGCACTCTGCTAAGCACTTTACCAGCAATAACCCTATACACAACATTTTGGGATATATAGGTACTATTGTTGACCTCATTGTATTGATAAACCAAGGCTTAGAAAGTTGAATTCAAACTTAAGTAGTTCCCTTACTTTTGTTATGCTACATACAGAGCTGAAGTATATTGTGTTTGTTTTTAAAATTGGGACAGAGGCATAAGTGCGTGTCGTCTTATATGTATGTTTTATCTAAATTGCTAACAGCTACCTTTACTGCTTTTGTAAACTTAGGTTTATTTTTCTTCAGCCTACTCTTCATGGTCTTTTATAATCTTTTTTTTTTTTGTCTACTTTGTTTTTCAGACTCATCAGCAATTGCCCAACAGAAACTTAGTTCCTTTAAACTGGTTTACTTTCAGTTACAACTTGGATTTAACTCTCTTCTGCATTTTTTGGTTATACTATGCTGTGTTCCTTGATTTAGATGCCTTCTTTTTCCAGTTTTTGTGTTCAAAACTTACCTTTAAGAGCTAACTAAATTCCGCTACTAAAGACTTTTCCAGGTCTTTCTAGCTTAATGTAGTTTCTATATGTGCTAGTTATCTTGTACTTCTTTTGGTATTTCTGTGATTTGACTTACAGATTATTTAACTTATGTGAATTCTTTCAGGGAATAGTTCTTCATTATCTTTTTTTGTATTCCTTAAATAGTAAGCTATCCGTGAGGATGTTAATTTAAATCTTTGGACTTTTAAAATGATGGATTTGCAAAACAGAATGAGTATTAAGATTGAAAGTTCTCCCAAGCCATACATGTTATGGATAAAGCTTTGGGGTTTAGCCAGACTTTTTAGTTTAATTAAAAATCAAAGAATCTCTACAAATTAGACAGTTACTAAACTTTAATATAAATTTTTGATTTTCTAAAACCTTTTACAGTACATCAGGAGATTCTTCTCGGTCAAATCTTTTTGAAGATGCAACAAGTGCACTTGGTAAGTATCTACATTGTAAGTAACCATATAAGAGATAGGGAAGAGGTTTAATTTTTATTTCTCTGGATCATGGTAATGTGTTTGTTATGGTTGCTTATAATCAAGTTGCTAAATAGTTGATTTAGATAATTTAATAGTTACTAATAGCTTTGAAATTGTTTCATACATTGACTCTTTTTTTTTTCAAGATGGCTTGTTTTTAAATTGTTCAGTTAGATTTGACATTCAATATTATGTTAGTTTCAGGTGTACAGCATAGTCGTTAGGCATTTATATAATTTAAAAAGTGATCTCCCCCCAGTAAGTCTTGTACCCACCTAAGTGACCATTAGACTGCTTGACCAGTCAACTATTTGACCAGCGCAGTGACCACCAGGGGGCAGACGCTAAATGCAGGAGCTGCCCCCTAGTGGTCAGTGCACTCCCACAGCAGCGGGGCCAGGATTGGGGAGGGGGGGCGGGAGCAGCATGGTGCCCACTCCGGCTCCTCCCTGGCCACCTCCCACTTCACGCACTACTATATCCCTCAGGGAATGTCGGACTGCTGGTTTCGGCCTGATCCCTGCCCCCTGGTGGTCATTGGGTGTCATAGCGACTGGTGGAATGGTCAAATGAACAGTCACTTAGTACATTACACTTTTATTATATAGGATGTCCACTCACATCCCCATGACTATTTTGTAACTGCCAATTGTACTTCTTAACACCTTCACCTTTTGACCCAACCCTTCAGTACCCATCCCATCTGACAACCATCCATTTATTCTCTGGATCTATGAGCTTGTTTCTGGCTTGCTTGTTCTTTTATTTTGTTTTTCAGATTTCATATCTAAGTGAAATCATATGGAATTTATCTTTTTCTGTTCAACCTATTTCACTTAGCACAATACATTCTAGATCCATTCATGTTGTCAGAAGTATACATTGAATCCTTTAAATTGACTGTTAGAGTCAAGTGTACTTTTTTCCTTAAAGCACATACATTTTATTTTCCAAATGAACTTTAAATGTTATTTTAAAAAAGGTTGACCTGTGTATTATAAAATGTCTTTGAATTGGGTATTAAGTGTTACTAAAATCTGTCTCACACTTCATCTTTATTCTCTTCTAGCCTTTATTTCAGCTTATAGCCTTGTCGGTTCCCATTTACTAGTATATCTTGTTGCTTATATTGTACTTGCAGTGGAAATGCCTTCTTATTCCAACTTTTAATTTTACCTACTGAATAATGTCTTTCCATCTTGTCTCCATACCCATTCTATCAAAATCAATTTTGTTTTTCCCTTTATTTTTCCATTCTTTAAACTGCCAACTAGAAAAACTGTAATCTCCACCAACTCCTTAATTTCCAGTTGACTCATGTTTTATTCCTCTTTGTTCCCTTCCTTGCTTGTATTATCATCCACATCCTTGGCCCTCTGCCTTTTGGCCTAGTGAGACCAGGAGTCTTCTTCCCAAGTCTCTGCTGCCATTTATTTGCTTTTGTTTATGTCCTTTCCTTACTGATATTCTTGAATTATCTGCTTCTAACTGGCCTGTTCTCTGCCATAGTGGACTTTCTAAAAGGTAAATCTAGTAATGTCATTGTTAGTTCATTTCACAGCTCATAGTGACCTAGAAGATAAATCCAAAGGTTTTTCATCATTACTTCTTTTTATTTTTAATTAAATATATTTTTATTGATTTGAGAGAGAGAGAAACATCAGTGATGAGAGAGAATCATTGATTGACTGCCTCCTGCACATTCCCTACTGGGGATCGAGCCCACAACCTGCGCCTGGGCATGTGCCCAACCACTTAGCTACCCTGGCTGGGCCATCACTACTACTTTAGCTCTTGTCTTGTGTTATCCATTGTTCCTAATTTTTTTTATGAGTTATTAGCCTTTGTACTTTTTTTCTTTTATTGATTTCAGAGAGGAAGGGAGAGGGAGAAAAATAGAAACATCAATGATGACAGAGAATCGTTGATCAGCTGCCTCCTACATGCCCCTACCAGGGATCGGGTCTGCAACCCATGCATGTGCCCTTGACCAGAATCAAACCCAGGACCCTTCAGTCCACAGGCTGATGCTCTATCCACTGAGCCAAACCAGCTAGGGCAGCCTTTGTACTTTTAATATCTAAAAAGTATCAAAATGCAACTTGATTAATTAGGAAGCATAATTTTAAGAGACACAGCATGATTAGGTGTAGGGGCTCTAGAGTCTGACAGCCTGTGTTTGTGTCTCTGCACCTTGACTTATCAGCTGTCCCGAATGGCATTAATGGGGTTTTTGTTCTTTATTTTCCCAGGCCAGGATGATTTAAACTACATATTTTCTGGTTAGGGAGGAGTGTATAAACCATTTGCTCTCAAGTGTCCTTAGTTAGGTAAGATAAGGTCTTGCAGTTCACAAGCTGACTGCAAGCCTGCCCAAACTGTTTGGCCTTGTTTAATTTTATTATCTCAGTTTCCCCATTGCACTTGCCCTGGGATTTTCCTAGCTTCTTACTATCCTGCCATAATGGGACCTACCAGATGTGCTAATAGATTAGATGTGAAAACAGGGGAAAGGGAATTGAAACCACTGAGGTTTTTGATTCAAGTATTTGGATGGATAGCGGTGCTATTCATTGAAATGGAGATCGCAGATAATGGGACATACTGAGGGATAATCTAAGTCATGTGTTGGTATTGGTTTAGGAGTGAGTGGAATGTGAGGAAATGGACACAGTATGTGCAGACAGCTATGGCTGTGAATGGGAGAGAACAGACAAATGGACCAGTTCTTGAAAGAGGAATTGGGATATGATGAAGGGAGGCATGTTTTTGTTTTTAGAATGACATTCAAGGGCATAGTTAACTTCTGGTCAGGATATTGAAACATCGATCAGCTGCCTCCTGCACACCTCCTACTGGGGATAAAAGACCCGTTCTTTGAGGAGACAAGAAAGGGAATGGTACCCAGAACATGAGTGGAAGAAAAGGTGGCTTAAATGAGGTAAAAGTGACATACTGAATGATAGGGATTGATTCATTGTACCAGCTTTCTGTGGTGCTTGAAATTCTAACTTTCTAGCTTTTAACCTCCTTTCCCCCTCTGCTTTGATAATAAAAGGTGTCAAAGGAAAACTGAACTTCTTATGGCAGAGCTAATTGCTTGAAATGCTCCTCTTATTTTCAAAGTCATGTCGCTGTCCTGTGCGATCTGCTAATTCTATCCTATATTTGTGCTACATTAATACCCTATATTTTTATTGTACTTATTAAACATTATATTAGTTTCCTATTGCTACTGTAATAAGTTACCACAAACTTAGTGGTATAAAACAACAGATTTATTATTACTTTATAGTACTATAGGTTAGAAGTCTGACATGGGGCTCACTGGACAAAAACCAAAGGACTAAATTACGGGGCTAAAATCAGGGCTGTATTATTTTCTGGAGACTCCAGGGGAGGGTTTATTCTATGTCCTTTCAGCTTTTAGAGGCTGTCCACATTCCTTAGCTCATAGCCCCTTTGCCCATCATCATCAAAGCAGCATAGCATCTCTTATTCTGACTTTCTCTCCTTTTCTTTACATCTGTTTCTCTGATCCTCTTACCTGCTTCCCTTCTATTTTTAAGGACCCTTGTGTTGGGCCCACTCACATAATCCAGGTCAATTTCCCTATTGAGCTGATAAGCAACCTTTCTTCCCTTTTGACAGGTCATCTAACATATCCATAGGTCCCAGGCATTGGCATGGGTGGAGAGGCATTATTCACCTAGCACAGTGGTCGGCAAACTCATTAGTCAACAGAGCCAAATATCAACAGTACAACGATTGAAATTTCTTTTGAGAGCCAAATTTTTTAAACTTAAACTGTATAGGTAGGTACATTGTTATTAACTTAATTAGGGTACTCCTGACTGACTGGCTCACTCAACTCGTGCATGAATCGCGCGCGCCTCCCCCGAGTTGTGTATCCCTCGGCCCGGCCTGCCTGCGCTGCGTCTCCCGTCGGCCGACCAACCGACACCCCCCACTTCTTCTAACACCACTTCTTCAAAATAGACTCGCCCAGGCCGAAAACCGACTTATGCGCATGGGCCACGAAGTTTCAATCGCACTGTACGTTCACGCCCGCACGTGGTATTTTGTGGAAGTGCCACACTCAAGGGGCCAAAGAGCCGAATGTGGCTCATGAGCCGCGGTTTGCCGACCACTGACCTAGCACATACATGTTGTAGTTCATACTGTTATTCATCTTTGTATTCCTCGCACTTTAGTGCCTAAACATTGTATGCATTCAAGAAGTATGGAGAGTGTTTGGCATTAAATATTCTCTTTCTTTTCCCTCCTCCGACCTTGCTCTCAACTTTTTGTAGTGACAGGTCAGTCTTACGAGAATATGGTAACTGAGATCATGTCAATGGGCTATGAACGAGAGCAAGTAATTGCAGCCCTGAGAGCCAGTTTCAACAACCCTGACCGAGCAGTGGAGTATCTTTTAATGGTGAGAAACATTTTACTTCTTCATTCTAGTTTAAGACCAAAATCTCAAAGAAACAAAGATTTGAAGGAACAGTAACAATTCACAGGAGAATAGTAATATATGCTAGATAATTTACACCATGCTTTTTCTTAGTATGTTAAAGTTTTGTGTTGATAAAATGACCGCTTTAAAAGATTTTGAAAGGATTTTTAGTTACTAAATGGCTGAGTTGTAAAGTTAACCATCCATTTGGAGTAGATCATTCTACCCCAATTATGCCATCCTCAAAGGCTGATAGTTGTGTTTGGGGATATAGAGGAAGATTTCTTTTTTATGTAATCTAATCTAACATTTTAGTAGCTTTTTTTACTGCCAGTGTAATCCTAGATGTACTATTTAAAGCAGGAGTTTTTTTTTTTGTTTTTTTTTTTTTAATATAATTTATTGATTTTTTACAGAGAGGAAGGGAGAGAGATAGATAGTTAGAAACATCGATGGGAGAGAAACATCGATCAGCTGCCTCCTGCACATCTCCCACTGGGGATGTGCCCGCAACCCAGGTACATGCCCTTGACCGGAATCGAACCTGGGACCCCTCAGTCCGCAGGCCGATGCTCTATCCACTGAGCCAAACCGGTTTCGGCTAAAGCAGGAGTTTTAAGTTGTTAGAAGCCCAACCCAAATTTTATTTATCACTAACTTTATAATTAATTGCTTATATAATTTTTTATTACTGTATGAAATAAATATGTAGAAATTTTAGAAATTAGGAGATTTCACTTAAAACATTCAGATAATCTGATTTACCTGGACATGTTGAATCACAGATTTTTGCAAGAGATTAGGAAAAGTTTTCGATCATAGATCTTTAATTCACTATCTTCCCCTTTCATTCACTGTTACCGGACATAATGTGCATTTAATTTAACATATCATGTTGCTTACCTGGTTCTATTGACATTTGAATTGTTAGCTTGTTTCTAGTTGGTAGCAACTGAGGGAATTTCAAGTAAGTTATTGTCTGTTACTAGCATAAAGGTTTTTGAGAAATAGATTGTTGTGAACATGGACTGAAACCCTTGATATTTTATGACAATGAATGTCTGTTAGTTTTATAGATGTGGCATAGACTAAGTAACAGCATATAATTTTGGAATAACATTAGATTTTTTTTTTTTTTTTTTTTTTTTAGTCTTAGCATTTTATGTTAGAATTGTCTGGTGTTTTGAAGTATCATCAAAGTATTAATTTGCCCTAAATATCATTCATGATCCTAAACTAACTATGGGAAATACAGTCCATAGTTTAACCCATTCCTTTGTTTCCAGCTTGTACTTCTGCCTGTTCAGATAGTAGTTTCCTCAGGAGAGTCATGAGCCAACAAATGCTCTGCCTCCACCAGTTATTTGCATACTCATTTGCATGTGAGATTCACCAAACCCTTTCTTAGCATATCATTTAATCTTTTGAATGCTCTTTTCCATTGTCCTCTTGACGAGAGTCTTTAAAATGCTAGCAGTTCATTTTATTAATTAGTTTGGAATTGAGGAATCGTATTGATAATCACCATGGGGTGGAGGAGTAACATTAACTACATTTCAAGTTCTCAGTAGCTACATATGGCTGCCTAATGGGTATTTTATTGGACAGCAGAGCTATAGAAAATATTTCCATTATCATGGAAAGTTCTGTTGGACAGTGCCACTGCTGCCTTGTATTACAGAAATGTAGGTTCTTCTACACAGGGGTCGCCAACCAGTGGTCCGCGAGGTCCGAAAGGTTGGCGACCGCTGTTCCGCACCACACTCAGGCCATTTCTAACCTAATTTAAATATATGTAGTTTTCAGGTAAATCTTGATCCTTTGCTCCCTCCCATCCCCATTTACTTATTGATTTTATTTTATTTTATTTTTCTATAGAGAGGAAAGGGGGGTGAGAGAGACATTGATTTGTCATTCCATTTATATATGCATTTATTGATTGCTCCTTGTATGTGCCCTGCCTGGGGATTAAACCTGCAACCTTGTGATACCGGATGCTCTAACCCAGGGGTCGCCAACCTTTCGGACCTCATGGACCACCAGTGGTCCGAGGGCCACCGGTTGTCGACCGTTACAGTCTAACCAACTGAGCTACCTAGCTAGGGCTTGAGCCTTTACTTTTAATTGAAGCATACAATTCTTTGATGCTTTTGGAAATTAGACAAGGATATTAAATATATTAGTAAGTCTTTTACTCTGTATGTATAATATTTTAAATGACAGCATATTTTAAAGCTTGGAAATTGTATTTTAGGGAATTCCTGGAGACAGAGAAAGTCAGGCTGTGGTTGATCCCCCTCCGGTAGCTACTACTGGGCCTCCTCAGTCTTCAGTGGCTGCAGCTGCAGCAACTACGACAGCAACAACTACAACGACAAGTTCTGGAGGTAAAGTGGAAACTTTTGGATGGGGAGGAAATGGTTCTAAATTTGTACTGTAAAATAAAGTATTTTGAGGTGAGGTTTATTCCCAGAGCATTTGGATAAATCCTAAGATTCTTTTTTTTTAATAATATATTTAATTAATTTTTTTTTTTTTTTTTTTACAGAGAAGAAGGGAGAGGGATAGAGAGTTAGAAACATCGATGAGAGAGAAACATCGATCAGCTGCCTCCTGCACACTCCCTACTGGGTATGTGCCCAAAACCAAGGTACATGCCCTTGACCGGAATCGAACCTGGGACCCTTGAGTCTGCAGGCCGATGCTCTATCCACTGAGCCAAACCGGTTAGGGTCTAAGATATTCTTGCTTATATTCCTCATCATTGCTGCCGTTTTGGTAGAGAGCATATTCTAAGGAAGAGATACTTGCCAGTTTGCATTCCTTGTTATATTTTGAAGCCATTGCGAATGGTTTACTCACCATATCTCTTTCTGTCCTTATAAATGTCATCGAGTATGTATGATTCCAAAACCAGTGGTAGCTTGGTGGTTATTATACAACCAAGGAATTAAAAGCTCGAAAGGTTTAAAATCTTGTGTCTCGAGGTGAAAGCAAACTTGAATTCAAGTGTCTACTGGCCAACACCCACATTTCCATTGCCAAAAGTTTGACTACAAAGCAAGGCCTGGAGCCTTTGGTAGGCCCAGGAATTAGTGTTCTCCTTCATTCTTTCTTCTGTGTATTGAGAAAGTATTCAAACTGTTAATTTTGAAGAGGCCATTCTTTAATGCATATTCTAGCTCTAATTATGGCAGTCAGTTCTGGTTGATAAAAATTTCTAAGCACTGGGTACAGTCTCCCAGAGGACAGGACAGACTTCTCATTTCTGGAGAATCAGCATGGGAATGGAAAGAGGAGGCACGGCTTTGATTCAGATTGAGGGTGCTGTCCATTCACCAGCAATTATTAAATAACTTAGTTTCTGCGTCTCATTTTCTTCATCTATAAAACTGGTCTTACACAAAGAAGAATAAATATCTGTGTTATGTGGTCACTTTAATTTGAATGATTGTCTTGAATTAAAATTTAGGAAATAACATACAAAATATTCTCATTATTCATTAGTAACCTCAAAATAATTCTTTATTTTGTATAGCATAACCAGACAAATACCATCCCCCACATACACACAAAAGTCACAAGTTCTAGATCTTATACCTTATTTGGCATTATTAATATTTATTATTATAAAGGGATCTTGGACAAAAGAGTTCTAAATATTATTACTAGATTGTCTTGTGGCTTATCTCAAGTTTTTATAGATTATAAATATTTAAAATTTGATGGCAGTAAAAAAAATCTTCCAACAATAATTCAGTTTGTGTTAATAAAACTCCATCTGATCTGCAAACCTGAACTTTCTTAACTTTTAATTATTAAATACAGGGGTTGGCAAAAGTAGGTTTACAGTGTGAGTATATGAAATATACTCTTATTCTTTTTAAAAATAAATTTTTATTGATTTCAGAGAGGAAGGAAGAGGGGGAGAGAGATAGAATCATCAATGAGAAGAGAGAATCATTGATCATCTGCCTCCTGCATACCCAACCTGGGCATGTGCCCTTGACGGGAATTGAAACTTGGAACCCTGATGCTCTATGCACTGAGCCAAACCATCTAGGCCACAGTTTATTCTTGTATTATTATTAACTAGAGGCCCGGTGCACAAAAATTTGTGCACTCTGGGGGAAGGGAGGGTCCCTCAGCCCGGCCTGTGCCCTCTCGCAGTCTGGGACCCCTCTGGAGATAACAACCTGCTGGCTTAGGCCTGCTCCCAGGTGGCAGAGGGCAGGCCCAATCTCTAGGTGCAGCCCCTGGTCGGGCTCAGAGCAGAGCTGATTGGGGAGTTGGGGCGCCGCCCCGTCATGCACAGAGCAGGGCGGATCGGGAGATTGCGATGCCACCCTAAGTCACGCTCAGGGTAGGGCCGATTGGGGGGTTGGGGCACCGCCCCCTGTCACACTCAAGGCAGGGTCGATGGGGAGGTTGCGGCGCCACCCCCTGTCACGCACAGAGCAGGGACAATCAGGGGGGTTGGGGCTCCGTACCCTGTCACACACAGAGCCGCAGGGCGATCAAGGGGTTGGGGAGCTCCCCCCTATCAGGCACAGAGCAGGGCTGATCAGGGGGTTGGGGCACCTTCCCCTGTCACAAACAGAGCAGGGCGGATAGGGAGGTTGTGGCCCCGCCCCCCTTTCACACACAGAGCCACGGGGCGATCAGGGGGTTTAGTCGCTGCCCCCTGTCACGCTGATCCCGGTGCTGGGAGGCATATTACCCTTTTACTATATAGGATAGAGGCCTGGTGCACGGGTGGGGGCCAGCTGGTTTGCCCTGAAGGGTGTCCTGGATCAGGGTGGGGGTCCCGCTTGGGTGCCTGGCCGGCCTGGGTGAGGGGCTGATGGCTGTTGGCAGCTGGTCACACCCCCTTCAGGCTGGGGGTCCCCCCTGGGGTGCCTGGCCAGTCTGGATGAGGGGCTGAGGGCTGTTTTCAGGCTGGCGGGTGACTGAAGCTCCCAACTGCTCCTTTTTTTCTTTTTTCTTTTATTCTGGGTCAGCTTTAGCTCTGAGGCTTGGCTCCAGCTCTGAGGCCTCGGCTGCTGAAAGCAGGTATCTGGTTTGTTTGGGTTCTATAATCGAAACACTGTTTCAACTCCAGCTCTGAGATCCCGGCTGGCTGAAAGCAGGTTTCTGGGGTTTTGTTTAGCTTCTATATTTGTAACAATGTTTCAAACTGCAAGCTCAGAGGCCGGCAGCAGCAGGTGGGGAATGTTGGCTTCCTCCGTCACTGAAGCAAGCAAGCCTCATGTTCGCTTCAAGCTGCCTGGCTGCCGGCCACCATCTTGGCTGGCAGTTAATTTGCATATCACCCCGATTAGCCAATGGGAAGGGTAGCGGAGGTACGGCTAATTACCATGTTTCTCTTTTATTAGATAGGATTTGTATTTTTCCATACAAACAATTATAAACATACTTTTGTCCACCCCTGTTACAAATTTCCCAGGAATTCAAGCTCAGATTGTTTGGGGGGTTTTTTTCTTAGTCCTGCTATATATTTTTCTTAATAACTTTTGAGCAACAGGAACAGCTTTTAGTACTTTTTATTTTTGATAGGGAGCATACAAAGCACAAGTCCTTGGTATTACTTGTTACTTTCAGTGTCTCTGTCTAAATTATGTTTGAACCAATTCTTTGTATATGTAATCAGTACTTTTGTTTAACAATGTTTTATGTGTATTTTAGGACATCCCCTTGAATTTTTACGGAATCAACCTCAGTTTCAACAGATGAGACAAATTATTCAACAGAATCCTTCCCTGCTTCCAGCATTGCTACAACAGATAGGTCGAGAAAATCCTCAATTACTGCAGGTGACTATGTATCCCATTTTGGAAAAGACCATGAACATCCCCTTCCCCTCCACCAACTCTAAACCATTCTAAGCTACTTTCAGTAGAATATGCTGCATAGATAGATGTACTAGAAAAAGAGTTGGGGGATGGAGGTTGGGTTAACTTTAGTTGCTCAAATAATAAATTTGGGAAACACCTTATTAAAGAATCTGAGAAACTCTTCAGCAAAGAAACTTTTTAATTTGTCTTTTTTCCCAAGCTTATTAGTAGAGCTCCGCCCTTAGGAAACATACTTGTGGGCTTAATTAATGCTTAGGTCACAAAGTATTTGAGTTTGGTACATCGTTGTACTGCCTGCTAGTGTGGAAGATATATGTAAGTTCTCTTTCCTCTTACAGTCATCAAGTGGTTTTTTAGTATTGCTTTTATTTTTTGACAGCATACATTTATGAAAGAGAATTTGAATTCTCTTAATTCTTCACTGTTTATCTCACTCAAAAAAACTGAGCTTCTTTAATAATGTGCAAGGAATCATCATATCCCCATAAAAACGTAATAATCTAGAATCAATCTAAAATATTACAGTTGCAAACGTTATAGCTTCTCTCTTATTTGTATTTAGAATTCTTTTTTTCCTGAAGATACTTTATATCAATGTATTATTTTTTTCTGTCCTTCAAATCACAGCAAATTAGCCAACACCAGGAGCATTTTATTCAAATGTTAAATGAACCAGTTCAAGAAGCTGGTGGTCAAGGAGGAGGAGGAGGGGGTGGAGGAGGCAGTGGAGGAATTGCAGAAGCTGGAAGTGGTCACATGAACTACATTCAAGTAACGCCTCAGGAAAAAGAAGCTATAGAAAGGGTGAGTTTAAGTAAAACTAACAATTCCGTTCTTCAGACAAAACAGTCACCTTTCCAAATCTCAGTGTTCACACAGGGCTAGTGGCCACTACATTGAATAGCACTGATCTATTTCCATCACAGGTGGAGTTCTTTTAGAGCGGAATACAGCGTTGCCCCTGGGGCTTGCAGGAAAGACGGACTTCTCAGTCCTGCTCTCCCATCTTGTTCTTTGTGAAGCCCAGGGACCAGCAGTGAATACCATTCTAGCAGGAAATAGTTGTAAATATATTAAGAAACTAAAAATTTCATTGATGTTTTAAAATTCAGGCAGGAAATGATCTTTAGGAGTGTGCCCAATTTAAGATGATTCATTTTTAGATTTATATTTCAGATTTCTTAACTTCATTACTGTTACTAAAATCTAAGGGATATATATATATATATATATATAATAAAAAATGACATACAGTAAATATCAGACCCTGCTATCCTGAATCGCTTCTCATCTTACCAGGGTGAGCAATGTAGGTCATGGCACTGTAATAACCTGGTTTTTATGATACTATGACTAGTCATTCATTCTCTGGCCCCATTGTTAACATTTATAAATAAGGAATCCTAGTACTTGCCTGTTTCACAAGGTGTTCTGAGATGGAAATTCAATATAGTGCATTTTAACTTAGAAAATCATCTGGAAAGTAATTTGTCCTTGTTTATGATATAAACATATCAAGTGTTTAAAGTTTATAATTAGGTATTTCCTAAAAGATACGTTATATATCAGACTGATATTTTCCCCTCTGAGTAAATGACACTTGCCTCAATTGTTCTATAGCAACTTTTTTTTTGAGGTTAGGGTTATCAGTTCTTGATTTCTGTGTTGGAGAAATTTTCTCTTGTTGCTGGTGCTTTTAATTCATACTAAGAGAACATTCCTAATACAAAGTTAAAAGATTTACTTTTGTCTTTTCTCTGAAGAGTTTATACTTGTCGAGATTTGTGACCCATTTTGAGTTATTTTTGTTTATGGTAGCTAGCTACATTTTTTGCATCTGACTATCCAGTTGCCCCAGCACCATTTATTAAAAATACTACTCTTTCCTCACTAAGTTGTCTTGGCATTCTTATTAACATTAATTGATAATAAATGTGAGGGTTTATTTCTGGGCTCTCAATTCTGTTCCATTGATCTGTATGTTTATTCTGTTAGTACCTCACTCTTTCTCTTTTTTTAATCCTCACCTGAGGATATGTTTGTACTAATTGTTAGAGAGAGAAAGAAACATTGAACGGTTGTGTGCCATATGCACACTACAGGGGATCAAACCCATGACCCTTCAGTGTGCAAACGATGTTCCAACCAACTGAGCGACACCAACCAGGGCCTTACTGTCTTGATTACTTACTCTGTTGCTTTGTAGTAAGTTTTGAAATCAGGAAGTGTGAGTGCTCCAATTTTGTATTTCTTAAGATTTACATATCAATTTTAGGCTCAAGTTGTTCATTTCTGTGCCTTCCCTCTCCCCCTTTCCCCCCAAAACTTGCTGGGATTATGATAGATACTCTGTTTTTGTGTAGATCAGTTTGAGGAGTATTGCCATGTTAGTAGTATTAAGTCTTAGCAAGCCATGAACATGGGATTTCTTTTCATTTATTATTAGATTTTCTATAATATCTTTCAGAAATGTTCTATAGTCTTCAGTTTGTACTTTTTGTATTAAATTTATTCCTAAGTATTTTTATTGTTTGTGATGCTATTATAAGTGTATTTTCTTAATTTCATTTTTGAATTGTTCAGTGCTAATTATATAGAAATACAGTTTATTTAATTTTATATCTTCCAACTTTCCTGAACTCATGTATTGATTCTGATCATTTGGGTGTGTTCCGTAGGATTTTCTGTATGAAAGATATCACTTGCAAGTAGCCATGGTTTTACTTATTTTCTAATATAGATGCATTATTTATTTGTTTTGTGTGACTAATTGCTCTGTCTAGAGCCTCCTGTGCATTGTTGAAGAGAAGTGACGAGACCCAACATTGCTTGTCTTAATCTGCATCTTTAGGGAAAACATTTCAGTCTTTCATTATTAAGTATGATGTTAGCTATGGGTTTTATTAAATTCCTTTTATTGGGTTGAAGAAGTTTCCTTCTACTCCTAGTTTGTTGTGTATTTTTTCAGAAAATGGTGTTGGATTCTGTCAAATGCTTTTTGTGTGTTTATTAAGATCATCGTGTAATTTTGTTCCTTTTCCTGTTAATATGCTTTATTATGTTGGTTGATTTTTGTATGTTGGAACAACCTTGTAACTCTGGGATAAACTCTGGGATAAATCCCACTCAGTTATGGTGTACAATCCTTTTTTATGTTGCTGGATTTGGTCTGCTAGTACTTTGTTGAGGATTTGTGGATCTACATACGAAATATAGGTCTGTAGTTTTCTTGTGTCTATGTCTGGTTTTGGTATCAGTGTAATAATACTGGTCTTATAAAATGAGTTTGGGAAATGTTCCCTTATCATCTCTTTAGAAGAGTTTATGAAAAATTGGTGTTAATTTTTCTTTAAATGGTTGATAGAATTCACTAGTAAAGTAATCTGGGCCCAGGTTTTCTTTTTGGGAAATTACTCATTAAATCTCTTTACTTGTTACAGGCCTGTTTGGATTTCCTGTTTCTTCTTGAGCCAATTTTGGTTGTTGTGTTTTTGTTGTTTTTTTTCTGTTGTCTTTCTAGGAATTGTCTATTTTAATCTGTTATCTAATTTGTTCATAATATTTCCTTATTAATAGTTTTTATTTTTCAAAAAATAGAAATGTTTTCACATTTATTTTTGATTTTAGTAATTTTAATCCTCAGATTTCTTTTTTTTTCCTGTCAGCTAAAGTTTTGTCAGTATTGTTGATCTAAAGAAAAAACACACACTAGCTTTTGGATTTGTTAAGTCTCTCTGTTGTTTTTGTAAGCTTCCATTTTATTTATTTTCTCAGTGATCTTTATTATTTCTCTGCTTGCTTTGAAATTAATTTCTTCCTTTTTTAAATATTTTTTTTATTTCACAGAGAGGAAGGGAGAGTTAAAAAATATTTTCTAATTTCCTTTGTGATTTCTTCTTTGATCCATTGGTTATTTGGGATTTGTTTTAATTTCTACATGTTTATGAATTTTTCAAATTTCCTTCCATTATTGATTTCTAAGTTCATTCCATCGTGGTCAGAGCACATTTTGTATGATTTTAATCCTTTAAAATTCACTGAGGTTTCTTTTATGAGCTAACATGGTCTTTGTGGAGAATGTTCATGTGTACTTGAGAAAGACGTGTATCTTCTGGTGTTAAATGTTCTGTAAGTGTCCATTAGGTCTAGTTGGTTTATTGTGTTGGTAAGTCCTCGGTTTGCTTTTTGATCCTCTTTTTAGTTGGTGCATCTATTATTGAACGTGGGGATATTGAAGTCTCCAACTATTGTTGAATTGTTTCTCTGTCCCTTCAATTCCGTCAGCTTTTGTTTCATGAATTTTGGAACTTGCTTATATATGTGTATAATGAAGTATTTCTGATGTTTTATCATACTAAAATGTCCTTTGTTATTAGTAGCAATTTTTATCTTAAAGTCTATTTTGTCTGGTATTAATATAGCCACTTCAGCTCCATTTTTGTAACTGTGTGTATTGTATATGTCTTTTTTCATCCTTTTCCTTTCAGTATCTTTGTGTCTTTGAATCTAAAGTGTGTATCTTATAGAAGCTTATAGTTGAATTGTTGCCCTCTCTACTTTTTATTTCAGCTAGCCCATCTTTAATCTGAATAAGATCTAGGTAACAATCATTTAAAGTTCTTCTCCTTCTACGGATGAATATTCATGCTGAACTGGGACTTGTGCCCAGTTTTTTAAGGTCATTTCTTGATTGAGGCAGTTTAGAAGAGGGTTCTTAACATTGGCTGACAAACTTATAATATCTAGTAAATGAGATCATTGACCTTAGTTTTTCAAGGCTTTTAAAGCAGTGATTACTGAGTTACAAGTGATTTCTAATAGATTAGGAAAACGAAAGTGGCTTGTGTCACCACTTATAATGCTCTAAAAATTAAGCAGATAAGAATAGAATACCATATGTCTTTATCTCAGAAATATTATGTAATATTACTAATAATTGGTCACCCATTTTTCTAGTATGGAGTGTTTCATAAGGCAAGGAGATTGAGAATGGTATTTGACCCTAGTGAAGGATATGACTTTCTTTACAAATAATTAGGTGAAGTAGTTAAACTTATTTCCATTTGTTCTCATCCGTATTTTCACCTCTCAAATACTAAAAGCCATTTAATTTACAAATTTCTTATGTTTAAATCGCCATAGTAAGCAGCTAATTTTTAGTGTTAATGCCAGTAGTTGTTAGTAAAGTATCTGTTAGTCAAATAGCTTTAACTAGGAACAAATAATTTTGTAGGTGGTTGTTAAAGGGTGTAAGTTCCATTTGATCCGTTGGGTTGGATGGGATGGATTCATGTAGAATTCTCAAGAGCTTTTATGTCTTCTACAGTAGTGCTGTGCTGGAATGATATGTTTTCTTTCTTTTCTTCCAGTTAAAGGCATTAGGATTTCCTGAAGGACTTGTGATACAAGCATACTTTGCTTGTGAGAAGAATGAGAACTTGGCTGCCAATTTTCTTCTACAGCAAAACTTTGATGAAGATTGAAAGGGACTTTTTTTTTTTTTTAATTTCACACTTCACACCAGTGCATTACACTAACTTTGTTCACTGGATTGTCTGGGATGACTTGGGCTCATATCCACAATACCTGTATAAGGTAGTAGATTGTTGGGGGTGGGAGGGAGGGATCTAGGATAAATACAATGCATGTCTGCTTCAATTAGCAGATGCTGCAGATCCACACAGTGTGTAAAATAGACAACCAAAAAGCAGCTTTTGCAGGTCTCTATCTCTTGTATAAAACAGTAGGTAACTTCCTAGGTTTCACTCTTTTTAGTGTACTAGATCCAGAAATTTAGTGTAATGCCCTGCTTTATATTTCTTTGACTTAACATTGGTTTCAGAAAGAATCTTTGCTATCTAGAATCTACAGTCTCTATTTCATGGCAACACTGGATAATGGCTTTATGAAATTGAAACAAATTTGGAACAACTGCAAAGAGATGCCAAATAATTGATGGTTATTGTTGCTGCTTCAAATAAGTATAAAATTAATGTCAAGAAAGCCCATTCTTTCATGTTAAATACTTGGGTTGGGGTGGAGAAGAAGGGGAACCTTTTCTTAAAGTGAAAATACTGCTATTTTAAAATCTCTTGATCATTGAATGTGAGACCCTTCTGACATGATTTGAGAAGCTGTACAAGTATAGGCAGAGTTATTTCCTGTTTACATTTTTTTTGGTTTGTTTGGGGGGAAATTGGTAGGTGTCTAATTACTGTTTACTTCCTTGTTATATTGCAGTAAAAGTTTTAAAACCACCATTGCATGTTTGCTTTTGATGTGTCCCTTTGTGGAATTAGCACTTTGGGACCAATGGAGAAATGCAGCGCCCACTCTCCTTTGTCCCTTCCCTCAGCAGAACCATGCTTGTCACCAAGTTGTGAGTTCAAACTGCTGCCTTTCTTAACCCCACAAAGGCTGATTCAGTTCAAAATTAATGCAAATGTTTTAAATCTGGGTTTCTGATATTTGTAAGTGTTTTTCCTTATTAGAAAAGAATGTATGGCCATTAAATTGCTTTCAAAAAGAGAAGGTGGACAGAACTATAATCCAGCATCTTTTATTTGAAAAACTGAGGAAATCTTTTGGAAGGGTTGGGAGTTGAGGCTGGAAAAGTACTTTGAAAAATATACAATCAAGATATCTCGTAGCATATTAAAGGAAAATTCTTAATAGCAATGTTGGCTTTTATTTGGATTTTTTCATCTCAGTTTTTCTTTGGAATCTGTTTCATTGGCATTGTTATTTAATCATAAAGAGGGGGCAGATGTCTACTTGTTCAGTTTTCCAAATTTATTTTCCTGACTATATACAAGACTTTAAAGAAGTTCTTTTTCCGCCATCTGATACTAGGTTAAGAAGATGAATTTGCACAGATTTCTCCCTGCGTAATCTCTTGCAATAATCCTTAGCATCGTTTGGTGATGACTTTCAAGCTTTGACATCATGCACTCATAACCTATCTCATTTGAAAGTAAATGAAATCATGGTTTCTCCCACAATGTTAAATCATGTGACTTAATCTTCATGTGTTTATTCCGTAAACTCAACAGGCCTTTGGACTTTGTATTACCTGTATGTTTTATACTGAATCATGCAAAATATCTCAGGAGAATAAAATGAGAATTTGTAAATATGTTCCTCTTTCAAGGCAGAGGAGTTGGGAAGAGGGGTGGCATTTCTGGTCGGATCATGGAATACTTTATTTTATGACATTTTATCTGCTACCTGATTGCTCACAGATAGCGAAAACTGGAAAAAGGATTAAAAAACAACAGCAACCTCTTCCTTACTCTGGAAAGTGACAGCAGAAGTTGGTGGCATGGAGCTTTTGTCCTTGGACAACAAAACTACAAATAGTGGGATTAATGATTACCAGAGGACAGTTCAGGCCAAGTTTTGACCATTCCTTGTTTATCTGCCTAAAGAACCAGACAAGACACTATGAAAGAAATAGGCTTTTTGTGACCTTTTTTTTTATCTTTTAATTTGCAAACAGTTTTGGTAAATCTCTTAATGTAAGTGACCTATTTGACTTTGGAATTTTGCATTTGAGGTATGTCATCTATTCCTTGAAATGTTTTTATTGTTTAGTTGCTCTGTGGAAAATGTGAGGAAGCTTACGTTTATATTTGTTAAAATCTAACTGCCATCCCCAAGTCAAACTTGTCTTTACATTGTTTAAAAAATACTGAAGTGTTCCATCAAATAATTTTTTTCCTGTACTAGGCTAGGATTCTAGACAATTATAAAATATTTTCAATACATCCAACATTGCATTTCTCATTTTTTAAGTGATTTTGCCATAAAATCTAAGATTGAAAGTTACCAATGCCTCTGTCACCGATCCTGTTTTCTTCAGTGAATGGTGAAGGCAGCATGTAGAAGGCCAGGCACTAGATCGGTTTTATTGGGTCTCCTGTCTGTTTTCTCAACTAAAGCATCAGTATAGAAATGGGATACCTAATGGAGTGTCAGTCAAATTTCATGAGGACTTTAAGAGATTTCATTATCCCCATTTTCCCCATACTTCATGTCTTAAAGCAGCCAGCCTAAGACTGCTACAAAATACTCAACCAAATGCCAGCAGCTTCAGGGAGTAAGGGCTTCCTGACCAAGTCTGTACTTTGGTGAGTTCCCCACCACAGGCTCATTTGTCTCTTCAGTTGACCTCCCCTGTCCATTTTGTTTCACTTAGTTCTAAGCCATGGGCTGGCAAACTACAGCCCATGAGCCAAACCTGGCTCATGGCTCACTGCCTGTTGAATGTTCCGTAAGCTAAGAATGGTCTGTCTTTACATTTTTAAATGGCTTAAAATTTCTTTGGTATAAAAATTATTCAAATTTCAGTGTCCATAAATAGTTTTTTTTTAAAATATATTTTATTGATTTTTTACAGAGAGGAAGGGAGAGGGATAGAGAGCTAGAAACATCGATCAGCTGCCTCCTGTGCACCCCCCACCGGGGACGTGCCCGCAATCAAGGTACATGCCCTTGACTGGAATTGAACCTGGGACTCTTCAGTCCACAGGCCGACGCTCTAGCCACTGAGCTAAACTGGTCAGGGCCATAAATACTTTGATTGAAACACAACCATGCTCATTTGTATATATTGTCTAGAGCTACTTTTGTGCTATGGAGGTTTGATGTTGAATGGTTGGCAACAGAGGCTAAGGCCTGCAGAGCCTAAATAACTATTGCCTAGCTCTTTACAGAAAAAGCTTGCCATCCCTGTTCTAAACTGCAGCTAGCCCATCATATGTTAAATTATGTGATGCTTTTTGATCCTTTTTGGCATTCTTGGCCTCTTGACTTCCGGTCTTGGCTTCAGTTTGATTTGTTAGTTACTGTCATAGATTCTTTCCAGAGGAGTGGTACCACCCCGCATCTGCACTGACAAAGGAAGGAACATTGTGTGCCTGGTGTGCTGGCCTAGCATGTATGTGGTGTCTTGAAATTATTATTTGCTGTTACTACACTTTCTTGCTCTTACCGGAAGATAATGAAATTCAGACTGTAAAAGCACCTGGCAGAGTGATGAATCAATCAGAACACAGAAAGCCAGATGAGTCTTTGGGCCTTGGATCAGCGTTGGGGCAGTTTGAACAGCTGGAAAAAGAGTGGGTGGAGCACTAGAGGGATAAGTGTAGCAGTTGGACCTGTTTGGGTGGCAGACTAGTTTCCAGAACTGTGTAGGTCGTGGGCGAGGGAGGGAGGGAAGGCTTGGACTGCTAGGAAAAAGATGCAGCACTGCAATGTTTTGGAAACCACAGGGACTGCAGTGGTGGTAATAGGTTGTAAAAGGCCTTCCCTGTCATGAGGTTAGATTTGGAAAACTGGTCCTCAAGTAGGGCTTTCACTGTGGAGAGGACACTGGGGCGCTAAAGAAATAAGTGATGACGAACTTGCTTATGTGTCCTGCTGCAGTTTCCAAAATGAATGGGAACATGGTCTCTGCTAGGGAGCTTGAAAATACCATTGAATAGTAATGGACCCTTTAATAGAAACCGTGTAACTTGTCTTTTACTAGTACAAATTAGAAAAATAGACTCCTAGACTCCAGCCTCATGTCTCACACAGTTTTCTGTTCTTGTTGATCTATGTCCTTGTCACCTACTCTTTCCATCTGACTCGGGATGAAATGGATAACAGTCCTCTCCAGTTCATGAGATGGTCTTCAGGGCACCTGAGGAACCTGGCCTCAACCCTAGTCCCAACCAGCATTATATCTTCTCTCCCCTCCCCCCCCCCCCCCCCCTCGCAGTGTTTTGTACAAGTACTATGTTTGCTGTGATGAAAATGCCGGGAAGCCTATCCTACACATACACTCTCTAGATAGGCCTCCTGCCTGTTAGTGCGTCCACACTTAAGCACGCATCTACCATGGCTAGTTACTGCCCACATAGTAGCCACTTTAAGGCACAAAGAATGTTTGGTATGGATCCTGGGTTTGGGTTATTGACAGCCTATAACAAAATCCAAAATGATTTCAAAATGTACTTAAAGTTTGGCTATAAATTATAGGAGCCAATCTGGGTTTTATGTGCCTGCAATAGCAGATTAGAAGAACACTGATATGTTAATTCAAAACTGATAGGTTAAAAATTGGATGAGAATGTGTGGGGCTGGTGACACAATGCCTTAGAACAGCTTGGGGTTAGGGTTCTTGTTTTTGAGTGATTTTGTGAACCCTGGAGTGGTTTTTGCAACTTCCTTGAATTTTAGTCTACTTTATGATTTTTTTGTTGTTGTTTTGGGTTGTTTACATATTTCTTTTTGGTCAGGCCTGCTCCTGCTTGTTGATAGCATTTTGACTATTTTTTATATTATCTCCAGTTCTAAGCAAATTATCTAAAGGAAAGTTAAATATTTTAACAAATTTATTGCTGCTTTAATTGTAAAATATTTATATCATTAACTTTGGTGTTACAATTTTTATAACATTTTTGCAAAGAGCACTTAACAACTTTTTCATTCTTAATGTCAAACTTACAGAAACGTTGCCGGAACAGTACAAAGAGCTCCCATTTACCATCACCCCTGCCTCAAAACCATTTAAATTTTGCAGTTGACCCAGTAATGCCCTTCATAGCAGAAGGGTCCAATCCAGATTAACACGCTGCATTTAGTTAGTCTCCTTCAACCCATACTCTTTCTTAGTCCCTCCGTGTTAGGACCATGATGCTTTTCTAAGATTACAAGACAGTTGTCTTATAGGCTGCCCCTCGGTTTGCTTGGTGTTGCCTCATGACCCAAGTTAGACGTGTTTGGAAGGAGTGCCGTAGAAGTGCTGCTGTGCTCTTTCACTGCATCCCGAGGGGGGGACAATGCTCACTGAGTGTTGAAGGAGGGTGGTGTCTGCCAAACTTCACTGCACAGTCACTTCTGCCCCTTTGTATGTAATACCTACTCTATGGGGAGATATTCTTATACTGTAAGTATCTTCTCATCAAAATTGTGCCCATCAGATTTACTGTCCACTAATATTTCTTGCCTGAGTTATGATGAAGATGGTTGCCAAGTGGTAATTTTCAGATTACATAATTTCCACTTCTACATTTATTAGCTCATGTTCTGTATTCTGACATCCCTCTCCCCCAATTATAATTTGCTTCTCTATGGATTCAGATTCCTCTTTTATTCAATCTTACATAATCCAATAGGACCATTTTGATGCTCGAATTTTTCCAGATTTTGCCGATGTGTGCATTCTTAAAGCCAGCTCTGTGTTTGGCGTGTTCTCCTGTCAGTTTCCAGACCAAGTTTCCAGTCTCCTTGAGTACTTCCTTGCTTTCTGGCACAACAATATATCCCAGGCTCTTGTTCTTTCTGTGCCCCATTCCTGGAAGTCACCATTTCTTCAAGGGGCTCTGGTTCCCTTTCATGGAGATTGTGTTTAGAGACCAAACTTTGTGCTACTTGTGCTCATGGCTGGTGGGGGTCTCACTGCTCCCAATAGGCTCATAGAACCTAACACACACACGTTTACATCGTATTTCTGTATCTATATAGTCGAAAACTTGAGTTCACACAGGCACCTTAATTCTGATCCAACACCAGCGTGCCTGCTTGCTGCCCCTTTCCATGTTTCCAGCCCCTCTCTTGGGCAATGAGAAACTTGGCTCCCATTGTGCTCAGTCCGTTTCCTTATTTGTCACCTCCCCTCTGTCACTGATCTT